TTTTTATTAATATTGCTCTTAAGATATAACTATAGATGTTACAAAATATCTCTCAATCTCTTCCAATAATTATGAATTTTTTGATGTTTCATTTAGCGGCCAAAGTGTGCCGCTCGATGCACTTTACTATGCAAAAACCCTAAAAATGGCTAAATCTGACGCAACGTGCAAAAGATTTTTATGCGCATCAGATTTCAGTAATCTCCTATGAAAATACACAAAAGTACACCAATGTTAAAAGGATTGGTTAAGAATCGCGGATGTGCCGCCGCTATCAATTTTGGATTAAATACGCATATTATTCGCGTATCACCGTATTTTTTCCTGTTTTCACACAGATTTGCGAATATAATAATACAAGCATGAATGTATGTAAAATCAATTTGAAGAAAAACGCGATTATATACTCGAATTAGTCAAAATAAGTTTTTCAGTTTTTTTTCAAAATTCAAGGTAACTATTAGATTCGGCACGTAAAAAAAACTAAAATTACGCGGGGTTCAAAAGCTTTTGAGTGGACCTTCTTAAATGTAGACTCAAAAACATGTTTTTTATAAAAATTTGCGCACCAAATTTTCGTCTTTGGAATCCAGTTACAAAGAAGCTGAGATATTGCATTCATGAGATGTACACTAAACGAAGCAAAGTGACGAGTTCTACAATCCTATAATCAGTTTAGCCTATTATCTGGTTGCGCGTCCTGATTATATGAAAAATTCAAAAACACCGAAAATCCGGCTTCAAGATGTCAACACCCATTTTTCTACATTACCACCATCACAGCTTTCATCCAACTTATTATTTATTACCAATATTTAAAGATTTTGACAAGAACACTTCATTTTTTACAAAGTATATGCATTTTTTACAAAGTGTATGTTTCCAAAACATTACGTGATTCAAAATCAATTAAAAGTCCAGGTCCGATGATATTCCTAGCATTATTCTAAAGTATTGTTCATATACATTGGCTGTCTCTTTGACACTGCTGTTTAGTTATTCCCTAAAATGTAGTTACTTTCTCAACTTCTGGAAGAAATTCTATATAATTCCTTTACACAAGTCTTGTAGCTAAAGTAATATTCCGAAACATTTTCAAAACAATTGTTTAAACAATGATAATAATAATAATAATTTTTCATACAGTTCAGCCCATTTTAAGTCCATATAAATATGATTTTCGAAGTCTACTACAAACCATCCAATCTTATAAAAGTTTCTTCATCCGTAATAAAAGATTTTATTCAGTGTATTCAAACCGATACAATTTACACAGGGCTAGCCATTAACTTTTAATATATAAATTGAAAGTTAATGGCTAGCTATATATTTAAAAATGGCTATAATTTTATTAGTGTTTGTTTTGTTAGATGCTTGTCTCTCCAAATCCCTTGATGTTCTTTCGGGTGTTCCTCAGGAAATTCATCCTCTTATCTTTGTAAATGATTTGCCAAATGCAATAATTCATTTCAAATTGCTAATTTATGCAGATGATGTCAAGTTGTTTATCATCCATAATTCAAAGAAGCAACCTGACTTACCTCAAAATTATTTAAATACCCTTTATCAATGGTGCAAATTAAATTGTAAGGATATGGATTAATTAAATACATACACATGTAAGCATATGCGTATTTCCAAATCTACTTTAACAAGACATTACAATATTAATATTTTTAGAACATAACTTAATAACAAACTGGCTGTTGAAGTAGATGCTCATCTATCATGATGCGGGTTATGGTAAGTACGCGATCTCTACGAATGTAAGTTAATGTATATATGAGGGTTAATGTATCACAATGTGAGGAGGATACATTTGCACCAGGAATTGTCATTCATTTGACATAAGTACTAACGAAATAGTAGCTTAAATTACTTCGGCGGCATAATAATAAGGTGACCGTACGTCCTTTTTTAGAGGACAATCATCTATTTTAACTGGCTGTCCTATATAAAATGTATGTCCTTTATCAGTCATCTATTTCTTTCACCTTGATCAGTATTTTTTTTTTTTTTTTGTAAATTAAAACAAATTAATAGATTTTATGAAATTTCAGAGAAATATTTAGAAAAAGTATTTTCAGGATTTTTAGACACATTTTCCAACCGAATTATCAGTTATTATGGGAGAGGGGGCACCTTTGAACACTTTTTTCTTCCAAGCCTTATAAAATTGTTTATTTTATAATTTTTGGTTTATTTTAAATTTTAACTAATATGTACATATGTAAACTGCCCCCAGGGGGGCAGCTTTGAACAAGGGTTGGCATTTTTGAACGACATGGTTTTTTACAGTGTTTATGTTTAAATATGTATGTATTTTATTCATACATATCAGAAATTCATTTATTTATTAACAAATGTATACAAAATGTTTCGAAAATTAGAAAATTCAATTTATTAAAATATAAAATGACTTAAAAACAAAAATTAATATGGCGAGAAATACAGTCAATTTCGTAATCTTAGTCCACTTGAAATTTTGAGAAATCGAAGCGAAAAGTTAAAAAACTCAGTTTTTTACTGGAGTTTATTGGGCATGTTCAAATGTGCCCCACCTGTGGCATTTTACGGAAATTTATATTTTTTTAGAAAATATATATGAAAGAAAATACATTAGTTATGTTTGAAATGATTGTTAGAATGCAAAAAAATGTTTATCGAAAGAAAACGATCACCGAATTCTTCCTGCGCCCTTACAACAAAAAAATAAAAAGTTTACAATTGCACTGCGAAAATATGGTCACCCATGTACAATTTGTCAACAACTGAAAAAGCTAGCCAAAGTGGTTTACGCATATAGAGAACAAGATTGCCATATAAAAAATGTGGTTGCGGGTCGGAAAAATTTTAAACCGAGATTTTAAGAGCGCTGTTCAAAGGTGCCCCACATTCAAAGGTTTTCCCCTCTCCCCTATATATTTTGAGTTGTAATTGGGTAACATATTTCCATAAAAAAATATTAATTATTAAATTCTTGGTATTTTTTGAGTTCCTGGACACGTTTTGCAACGGAATTGGCTGTTATTTAATATTTTGTTTTCTAATATCTGGTTTCCCCAATGCAAAGAAACCCACCTTTTTATTTTTTTTTAATTTTACAAAAATTTGCTCTCAAAAGTGAATGTAATTTTCTATTCCCAAGATTATTCGTTTAGGACCAAAAATTTATATATAAATGTATTAGCTTAGTTTCAGTTAACTATTTTACGAACAGTAGTGATATTCTGTAACTGCTTAACGACAGAATTACCGACGTTAATTAACGAAAATATTCGGAAAGTTAACTACCAAAATAAAGTAGTCGTTAAGACCTACCGACAGATATGAAAAAGTTGAGATACATTTATATGAAAATATGCCATTCAATTTCTCGGACATTTGTCGGTAACATTGGAAAAAGTTATAGAATTGCACTATAGATGTTGAAATTTGAAAAAATCTAGCTGGAACAAATTTACTCAGTAAAGTTTGTATATGTTACCCACGACTACACTTTTTGGTTTTGGATATATAAATTTATATGGACAAAAAGTGGCCGAGCCATGTTGCTAGATCGTTTCGGATCTATCATTGTAAAACAATTTTTATGATTATCTAGAGGGACATTTGCTTACGCATTTACATAAACGCATATACCTATATATAAATATACATTTCATGAAAGTATAACTATACACATGATCATGCATGCATTGGTTATATACATACTTGCTTTCTGCAGCCAAAATTAACGTGTTCGGTGATACACGGCTAAACACTAATCAATTGAAGTTATTCATGACTAAGAGAGTGAGAAACAATCGTGCCACACTTTACCTTACCCGTTGAACACACACCGCCACCCACATACACATACAATTGCATTGAACTCAAGACGAAAACAAAAACAAACGCCAATAAACCCAAACTTGTTTGTACTCTTTGGAGAGCTTCAACAATATTGGTAGGTGTACTATTTATGTTGTATTTAAGAGTGTAATCTCAAAACTTGTCTCAGTTGAGCGCGACTTACTCTCTGGTCTCTGGCCATTCTGTTTTTATATTCTCAATGCTTATACGTCGGCTGTGTGAACGTGCTTGGGGGCTACCTTTATTTGAAAACGTGAGTTGATCGTATTCGGTATTGTGCTTCCATCTAGAGAACACATACGACAAACAAAGCGGCAACAACTTCCATATTTCGTCATTATTTTGCAACCCACGACTACTACCTTTGGGCTTTTTTGGATTTGTTATCATTAACAACGCTAAAGGTTTTTCAACGTTATCCAGCAGCCAGACAACGACAATTGATATCAATATCGGCGAGGGACAAAATCAGCAGCAGAACATTCCAATTTGAATATTGTTGCAGTTATTTTGGGACAAATTACCATCCTGCCCGGAGAGCCAAGCAACAATATTGGTTTGCAGAAATACAACCCTACAAGGCGATATTACACACACTTTCCAACACTGAATTCCATTGACAACCCGTCACAGACGTCAGTTCGTGGTTGTCAATTGGCCGTACTAAGGTGGAAGTGGCTGTTGTTGTGTACCAATAGAATGCAAAATGTAATAATTTGTGGAAAATAATAATTGCAATTAAAAATATTTTAAAGTGCGATTGATGTGAATGAGTGTAAAGTTGCATTGCAGTCTTTGGTACATCGGTTAAAATTGAATAATTTGAAACAGCTGTTGTAGACGAAACTGCGGTCGGTCGTGTGAATTCAGTGTGTCGAAAAGAAGAAGAGTGTTTTCCTAGTGTTTATTTTTGGATGAAAGCAATACTCTGCACCGTCCACCCTGTGTACTGAATAAAAATAAGCAACAATTTTAGTGTTATAGATTTAGCTATTGTCACTTTAAAAAAAAAAGAATTAGTTGCACCGTTCTACAAAGAGACAGCTGGACGAGCAAAGCTGTTACGTGTAGAGGTGTCAATATTGGTGCTCCCCTGCCGTGTTTGTTATTCTATAAAGGCAACAGCCCGCCATTGCGTCTAATTTGAACGTGTGTCCTACTCTCTCCACTACGTACGGAAACGGCATCGCGGTGGATAACTTTTATCTCAGAATGGATCCTTCGCGAGGTGACTCGCGGTATAACCTAAACTACTCTATGAGTAGTATTGGCCTTTCGCTGGCCGACCAGGCCGATATGTATGGAAACCCAGCCGCTGTGGCGGCTCTTGGCCGGCCTCCAAGTACTGGTTTGTTGCAAAGCATGGGTGGGGGAGCTGGTGGCCCAGGAGTTGGCGGTATAACATCACGCTCCAGCGGTAGTTTAATGTCTAGTGGCCAACAGTGTCAGTCTCTAAGCAATAGTTCGGGTAGCCATAGTGCGGGGCAGCAGCGTGGAATCAAAAGATCTGGTTCTGATTGTTACGATGACTCGCATCATCGTGTGCCAAATGCCGGCGGCGCCAGTGGACTGTCAAATTTACAAGGCCTTGAAAATTGTGGTGGAGGTGGTGGCAGTGTTTCACATGGCGGCAGTCAACAGCAGCCACAATCTAGTAGTTCGGGCGGTGGTGTAACCGACGTAGTCGATGACAACTATAATTCATTGCAGAGTAAGAAGTCACCACCAGCAAATGGCAAGAAAACCAAAGGACGCGTCAAAATTAAAATGGAATACATTGATAACAAACTGAGACGCTACACCACATTTTCTAAGCGTAAAACGGGAATCATGAAAAAGGTGAGTGCTCCTTTAATAACATATGCGCAGCAATGTGTACGCCAAAGAACAATGGCTAGCAAAACCCGAAATTATGTGAGCGTCTCTATGAATTTGCAATGTATTTATAGTACTCCCAACGATTTGCAGACTTATCCTATTATTATGCCATTGCGGCAAGTCTGTATTCCCTTTAAAGGGTCATTTCGCCAATAAGTAATTGTACACGCATTGTGAGCGCGCTTCGTATGAAGCTATTTTTTTTCTGTTTGTTTCATCGGCGTATTGTCATCTAGCTAATGTGAGAAGAGGAAATAGTATGGTTCGGTCTATTGGATTCGGCATAGTTAATTGTACAATTTGGAAGCATATACGATAGCACAAGGTCCCAAACTCTTCAGTGAAAATGCTAAATAACAACATACAAACAAATAAACCAATAGTCGGACGGACATTTAGAGAATCGATCGGAAGCGTGGGTATTAATGTATGAAAACCATAGCCACAGCATAGCAGCAACTGTAGACTAATTCAATTCTAGGGTTTGAGCCAATGAAGATGACGACGACAATGATATTATGTATTTTCGTGAGTTTTTGTGTTGCTCTCTCCTTCTCCATGTCCATTTAGCATTGTGAAATGCTGACAATAGTGGGCAATCATTTAAAGTATGCTTATAGCAGATGACGCTGCGCTATAGTAGCTGCAGCTAAAACAAACAATGGATGACGACATTTAAAGCTATTCTTTTTTTGCAACTCTTGGCTAACACAAGATTTCTTCTGTCCTTTTATACACATGGTATATATTGCTTTTTTCTTCATTTGTTTGATGTTGATGCCTTGGTAGTTGTCGTTGTTTTTGCATTGCTTCTGTTGTAATATTCATTACCTTTCTTTAATATAGAAGTTCGAATGTGTGGAAAAGTTTCCTCTTTTATGTTTGTTAAATTATAATTGCATTTAAATGCAATGCCAGAAAACAGTCTTATTTCATACGGCATTCTGTAAGGTGACCATATGTCTTCTATTTTTTGGATGGACAACTGGCTGTTATCTAAAAAATGTATGTCCTCTAAAATCTGTCATATTTAGTCATTTACATTTTTTTAAACTTTAATCAATATTTATTTTAGTAAATTTGAATATATTTTATTTTTCTCCCATGTTGTATAGAAAGTGTATAGTAGTTCTTTTACCGTCCAAACCATTTCCAAACTTTAAAAATGTTTAGTCCTGATCAAGGTTTAGGCCATGGTTCTGATCAAGGGCTGTATAAGGTCGGTCAGTAAGCGAAAGCAGTTGATTCTATTAAGTTTGACGTAATTTTTTTTGAAGAGGCGCAAACTAATTGTTTCGCCTTTTTATATTTTAAATAAAAAATAACCAAAATACAACACAATTTATAATTTTGTAAGATAATTTATATAAAAACGTTTTTAAAAATCTTGAAATAGTCTGAATGTGCTTCACAAAGACGATATAAATTAAAACTGAATTAAATGTTTACATTATATTAATATTTTCGTTTTGACGTCTAACATAATTCTGTATGTATAGGTTTTATAATATGATTAGAAAGCTAACTTCATACTCAGATGTCCTTACTGTCAGACCTTATACAGGTCTTGGTCCTGATTTACATTAGGCAATTTTCATTGTCTGTATTCAGTACTTTGTAGCTAAAAGAGTTGAGAGGAAGACAACCGTCCACCTCTCTCGCCCACAAACTGACAATTGCCGCAGGTTAACTTGCCTAATGTAATATTTGTATTATTTATTTTCTTCTTGTCAAATTTATGACTACATACTAGTTGTAACATTGAAAACATTCAGATTTTGAGTTTTAAAATACTTTGTTCAAAATAGCTCTCTCAATTCATGCTCTTTTACTAAAGTTTTGTGTAAGAAGACAATATTTAGTAACACTTTCTACAAATTGTTATAAAATATCGAGTACACAGATAGACTAAATATACATAAAATGTTAGCTGTGTCTGTTACTCAATATTTGGTAAAAAAGTCCAGTAAAAGAGAGCGAAAATAGAAGAATAGTTTAACAGTTGAGCTATGGCTTAATCGTGTGAAAACGTAAACAAAAAAATTGACAGTTTGATGGATTTTTTTTACCAAAATGGCCGATAATATTCGCCTCTTACACGATCTGTTATTTAAGATTTATTCAGCACAATTCTATGTATTTCAATCACTTGTTATTTTAAATTTTGACCAAAGTCAAAAAAACAATTGTATTTTATGAATTTTATTCATTATTAATATTAAAAAAATTCAACCATTTTGTGTGAAATTGCGGAATATTTTACAAAATTTTACTGAATGTTGTCCGTTTACTTTTCGCGGCATCGATGTAAAAGACAATAAAACGGCTTAATCTCTAAAATAGAACTTACTGAATAAATTTAACTGGAAAAGTAACTACACATAGCTATTGTGTAGTTACTTTTCCGTAAATAAACAACCCCGTATCTACATTTTCTGTCAAAAGTTGTTGTTGTGGCGAAAATAATTTAAAAAATCCATTTATTTCGCACTTTTTGATAGCGCACAACAAACTTTATACACTGCACTGATTTTATCAAAACAAATAATTGATTTTTCACCACATTTGAAAAACATTTTTTTGTATTTTAGGATAATATTTAAACAAATTGAAAATTTTGTCGATGCCTTTGTCAAAGCTAACTATTATTATTTTTTGAATTCAATATATTTTGACAAAAAATTTAGATATCAGCTGGCCTTACTGGATGACCTATTATATAGGCCTTAGAAATGATTGTTTTTTTCCACATTTTTAGGCACACTATTTTCGTTAACACATCAATTGTTGTTTATTTTTGAACAGTATTTCGGTAACTTTCATATATGTAAATACATGTGTTATACTTTTGTGGTGAATTACGTCGAACGCCCTAGTTGAATTTTAGGTAGTGCTCTTAATGGATTTAAATAAATCATTAGTATCATCTGATTTCAGCCGTAATCAACAATTTTCGATATTAACATTTGTATTATAATAACATCGTTGTTTGCATCATGGTCGTTAAACAATGCAGACAAATGTTTCGGAAAAGAGATTACCGTATTTAATAATCACAATTTTGCTTGGTTTTCGAGTTCCAGCCATGGACGACTTCTGCAGATCCTGCAGAGGAACATTTACATGTGTATATTCATGAAGGTCGGGAATATCTAGTGTTAAGCCATGTTCAGTGAAGATTCAAATTCCCCTTAATAGATTTTTTATTATATTGGTTGTTATTTCAATCAGTATTGTATTGAAAAAATTGTATAAAATAATTTTATTTATTTAAATTATAAACCTTGTGCCGACTTTAGGACACTGATATCCGATTTTATTAACTTATTTAATATGTTTCTCCAATTTTAAGCCAAAGTTATCGAAAAATAGCTTTAACAATATAGTATCCATAGCCATAAAAAAAAACAAAATAATAATATTTACAAATATTGTTTAATAATTGGTTTGTTCCCTTACTGCAAGAATCTACTAGATCTTACTATTTTCTTCGATATCATAAAGGAAAATTCGTTCGTTATCGCAGTAAAAAGTTGTAGATTCTTGCAGTACGGGAACATACCAAATTTTAAATTCCAAAATGTTCTTTAGTAAGTTTTTTACAACAATGAAAAATACCCGGGTGAAAATATTTGCTATTATATTACCTCCCTACCCTGCAGAGTTGCTTCCAAAAAAATGCATGTGTAAACCTCGAGTTACGAATCTTTTACAATCGACATGTCCACTATTTTTTCTTAAGAAACACGAATGATTGCTAGTATTTTAATGATAGAGATTAAATACCCTCAACGAAGGACGTTAATTTGAAATAGATTTAACCCGAGCTGTGCTAGCGTGACCATATGATCACACTCATAATTCATCTAAAAAGCCTGTACCCGAGCAGTGCTGGTGTGAACATGCGGTCACAGCCCAAAAATTTATGCTGTCGATTATCCTGATAAGAAAAAATGATACAAATCAAATTATTGAATTCAGTGGCCCACAATCTAGAGACGCTGAACGTTTCGTCCCACAATTTGAAAAAAAATAATTATAGCACTATTCCGATTAAGGTTTTCCACCGTATTTTTTTTTAACATTACTGGTTTAAGATCAATCGAACATATTACATTAATACAATATTGAATATTACGATACAAAATCGCAAGCTTTAACAGCGATAACAAAAACATCTTCACATTAAAATATATTTTGTATTATTAGCTATCGTGGGTGCCAGTGTGGAACGTTTATTTTTTCCAAAGACGACGAGTATTTTGTAGGTTTCCCAATATGGAAATTCACAAACTGCTGAAGTGCGTAGACGTTACCCGCTAGATAGCTGCAAAAGTGAAAACAATATTGTCATTCAAAATTAATGGATGAAATGAGATCATTCCTAATACAATAATTTCCACGATTCGTTTCTTTAGAAATTTTAAACGTGGGCCATTTTTTTAGGCCGGTGGCATCATCATACGTTGAATCTCCGATAGGAATGTGTAAACGTTACAAATGTGCGGTGTGTTAATTTTTTTATTATTGGCAAATAATACAGGACAAAACAAGAGTTCACTAATTGTGACAAGGGAATTGTTGAAGATTTTTACTAAGTATTCGGCTACAAAGTTAGGTACACATTTCCCTAACATGTCCGAAATATCGTCACTTGATAGTACTTCACTTCATGCAGTGTTATCCTATGGTCACACAATGGCATGTATGCGTACATACTATATATTTGATAGTGGGGTATCCGGCGTGTGTGATCTTCGTTCGCTTTCCTGGCAGTCCTGAATAGGAAGACAGCAACAACATTGTGAATTTGTTTTAAAGGTACCGACAAAAGGTGACGATGCCTCGCATCAATGGAGAATATGTTTCATGGTGTTGTTGATTTTGCATTGTGTATAGGGCTTAAAGTCAAGCAAATAGCGAAACACAAAACAATTGTAAATGTTTAAATCAATTGAGTAACTTGGAAGCTGCTATCAGAGATCAGACATTTCGATAGGCATATGGTTAAGTATTGGAAGCATTACAAATCGTTTATTCATTCTTCTGGGTGACTAAAACGTTAAAACCATATGCCAGCTTTTTTGGTAATGTAAAAAAATTTCGGTCGCAGAGAAAGCTGAATGAACATGGATGCAGTTCTAAACTTTGTCTTAAGCTTGAAGCGGTATGTTTTGCCGATGACAAAATACATAGAAATATACAGCAATTGTGTAACACTTTCACAGTACTCGTATCGAAATGCTTCCGTAACATTAGCAAGGTAGTCATTCGAACAATATAGAAAAGAATCATGAATAAATATCCAAATGTCATTTATTTCATGTCAAATTAGTTTGGGTTAAGTTATTTCATAATATATAGTAAATATATATATATTGTAAGTATTTTGAGATGGAAAATATTTGATTTTTTTCTTTCATTTCCATTTCAGGCTTATGAATTGTCTACCCTAACTGGCACACAAGTTATGCTTCTTGTTGCTTCAGAGACTGGCCACGTGTACACGTTCGCAACCCGCAAATTACAGCCAATGATTACTTCAGAAGCAGGAAAACAACTTATTCAAACTTGTTTAAACTCTCCCGATCCGCCCAGCGTTGGAGGTGGAGATCAACGCATGTCAGCGACTGGCTTCGAAGAAACCGAACTCAGCTACAACATAGCCGATGAGGATTCAAAAGTAAGACAATTAATATATGGTCATCATGGTCACGCTCATCTAGGACATCCCCAGGCCCCTGCATCCCATTACGGTCTTGACCAAGGTTTAATGCAATCCCCTTATAGTGGGGGGCAACCTTCCCCACTATCCCATTCCCAAGCATATGCGCATGGACATGCTCACCATTCACACGTTTCACATGTACCTCATTCAACACATTCCCACATGTCCCATACTCATCCCCAGCGGTAGGATTTTGATAAAGATTTTTTCAAACATAGTTACAATTTACATATATTAAACATAATACAATATAACGGACGAACTATTTTTCCAACAAATGTACATAATATAACTTAGGAAACATTCTGAATACATTCTACATAAATAAAATCTCCAGTTTACCACCCAGAGTCATAAAATATGACATTGAATAGGATAATTTCTTTTTTTTCGAGAAACGTATATATCAATAAAATATTCTCAAAGCGTCTTAGAAACCATTCAATATTAAAGTTACACACAGTGGCTCATTACCGCCTCATGATGAAACGAAAAAATCGTTTTACGATCTCGTCCTACACATGATATTAATAAGCAGTTAGCGTAATCAAAAAAAAAAAAAAGAATAGACATATGTATATTTGTATATGCGAATAATCTAAATAGATACCAATCCGAAAAATAACCATCAAAATTTACGAGTACAATAAGTACAAGCCATACTAGTCATTTTTGATGCTTTTTTTGTCCTTTCGGTCTCAAGTTTTAGGACCAATCCAATAATTTAGCACAATGTTAGTTAGTCTATAGACAAACAGGTCATTTGCAAATATAAATAAGGACATTTAAACACTTATTTAAATAAAAGAACACGTGTGCCATATTTTATCTATTATTTGAAACTTACTATATACATATAAATATACATAAATACGTAAGTTGATATTACTTTAGTAATTGTGTTATATACCCTTTTTCAATCAATGTGCCATTCAATAGGAGTGAAATCCGTTGACCATTAGCTTTGTTACTGTGCCATCCCGCTGTATTTTATATAGGAAGACAGGTCACTCACATCCAAAAATTCAAAACACCTACAAATAATGTCATATATACAAGCCGTTATACATATTTAAGGATTGATTGTGCAATAAAATTATTAATCTGAAGAAAACGACGCTAATTCCAGGCCTCAAACTACCTTATATATTTCAGATTAAATTAAAGTATTGTAACTTATTATAACATTGCAATAGGGAGAGAAACATTTTACCTGATATTATCCTGTATCTAATGTTCAAGTTATCTATTCATTTACATGTAATTAGTCTAAATCTGCGAAGTATCGATGAGCGTGATCCCATGTATGATGGAAAAATGACTATATCTAAATACGTAGTAAACTATACATAGATATAAATTAAAATATATTTATAGATAGATAAATACAAAATTAGTTTGCCCTTGTATATCATGAGTGATGCATGTTTGTTCTTGTTTTGTTTTAAATTATATATAGTCAGTAGAATTATCCACTTAGTTGCTGGCTTGAATCATACATAATACCATTGGATTTTACATCATTGGGAGTTCTTGTTGTTCTCTCCGATGATGTGCATGTTCCGTTTGCTTTCGCTTTGTTATATTTAGTAAAAACGCCTACATTTACATATATATATATATATATATATATGCTGATTGTGTATTTAAAATTTTAAACAAAACTTAAAGCGGCAGCATTCATATTTATGGTGTTTTTCTGTCAAACAGAATTCATACGTATATAAAAAACAATAAAAAAATAGTTTTAAGACCACTGTATATTTATTGCAAAACAAAAAAAGAAATACAAATTACTAAGAAATATTTTTGATTAAAGAGGCTAACATATTTATGTTTATATCATCTTAAGTACATAAGGACTTACATTTCTAGTCATGCTGATAATATTATGTGTAAGTATATGCAATAGTATGGACTATTGGTACAACCAGTTTTGAGATATCTTTACACAAATCGTATGCGGCATGTGGGCCGCATCTTGGTTTCAAGATCAAGGTCGACATTAGTTTTATGAATGAACCTTTTGTAAATGAGAATAGATGTGTACCACCTGTGTCATATCACTTCAACTCATTCACATTCGTACGTAGACATGGAAGTAATTAGTTCGTATTCTTTGTAGGCAAACCGGAGTGACTTCAATAGATTGTACTTAAAGTTGTTGTTGTTTCGAACACAGCAATAGGTGTGACGTCACAACAAAATGTGTTGCGGGTGTCGAAGAACACCAGCTAAATTTGCTATAAATAATAAAAATAACAACTTCAACTTCTGGCGCGATTGATGAATTTACGGTCGTAGGCATCAAAACAAGTTTTTTTCTGTTTTTGAATTTTGAATTATATATATATATATATAATCTTAAACTCTTATATTAAATAAGGTGGGCGGTCGTCGTATACTTGTAGGATTGAAATTATTTGTTCACTATTCTTTCTTTTAAATTCGCCTAAAGACGAAAAGCATACATTTGTCAGTAATTTTATATTTGTCATATATCTATTGGACAACAACAATACAGTGAACTTTATAGTTGAATTGTTTTTATTTCAAATTTATTATAAATTTAGTTTACTCCCACTTTCTACTGAATGATATTTGTGCAACGAAACATATACTTCTTATCAAAATTCGAATTATTGGCTCTAAATTATTGTCACCTTAATCAGGTAACAGTTTTGTGAATTTTTTAATATTTTTGTTGCGTCGTACCCGACCTTTGGATTATTAATAATATTAATTAAAACCAATAAAATACTAATGAAAATTTTAAAATATTCCTGTTTATGAAGAATTTAATATATGCCTGTACTAATATCAGTTATTTCCTTGCAAAATAAAGAATACAATAATTAGACTTTGTGTGGCTTGTCCATTATTTGTCTTGAGTCTTGTCTTGTTTGTAATATAAAGACTTACAAAAAATGTACAGAATCCCACAAGGACGTAGAATCGGTTCAGAAGTGTAAATTCATACGAAGTTAGAGCCTTTGAGTTATGGGTTGCCGCCAAAAGCAACAACAACAACACCACAAGTATACGTGCGATACTCACGTGATGGTTTTTATGCAAAAATAAAAGTATTCGAATTTAGCTATTTCAATGAGCACGGTCGGGCGACAGGTTGTTTCTTAAATTTGGGGTTTGAAATAAAACTTGGATCAGGACGATCAGGACCAGAGATATGACATATTTCCGTACGTCAACAGAAATTTTTTAATTGTAATTTCCGAATTGAATCCTGCTTATTTCGAAATGAAGGTATGGTATAAAATTTAGTATATATCAGACATTATTTTAAGAAACCCATACGGACATTTTTACTACTCAGAGGTTTTGTACAAAATATTTAAAAAAAGGAACAACGTTTTGAACATATAAACTAAATTTTTATACCCTCAATAACTATGTTGTCAGGGTATTACAGCGTTGTAACGCCGCGAAATATCAGTCCTAGACCCAACTTTAAGCAATGCCGTACGTAATATCTCGACTAGCTGAGTTGATCTAGACATGTGTGTCCGTCCGTCCGTCCATTATAATGTGTAAACACGATACAGGCCACAACTATGGAATGTCGTCACATATTTCACACGGTGAAGGGAATCTTCGCCGTGGGAATATTTGTATGGTCAAATCAACTAAATCCTAACGTGACCAGAATTTTATTTAATGGTGTAAATATTCACCTTGGGAAAGCAGGACTTGGAAAATATGCCAGGGTTAGAAAGTGGAGCTGTTGAAATATAATCGGCCCTACTGCTGCTACAACAACGAGTGAGACTTAGTTGTAGATTCCTCTGTCGTGCAAACTATATATTTGATTAGATTCAATTCAGTCTATACAGTTTCAAACGATTTAGGTCTGTTATAGGTTAGATATATATTTTTGTTATTTTCACCTAAATTGATATCAGGGGGAAAATTATGACAGTCAATATTGAGTTGTTTCGATCGATGTTATTCAATTTGGTATGACCGCATTCAATACCGAAAAAGTTTCTTTGAAATGTTCGATAAAAACTATCAAAGCTTTGCTGGTCGCTAAAATGGGTGTCGAAAACAGAAAAAAAAACAAAAATAATAGGAAGGATAGGATCAAAGCCGCAAATGCGCTGAATATATAACACAATTAAGACAAATTCACATCTCAACGTACTGCCAACAATTTCAACACATTGGGCAAAAGAGTGAGCTGTGCCAAGATTCATTGCAATTAAATAATAAAAATTAATGAAGAGTCTCCCAGTTACACATAACAATAAGTAATTTTTTAATACCTCTAAGCAAATTTCATGGAACAAAAGATAATTTAAAAGGCAATAATTCTAAAAGAAAACTTTATAACGTAAATAAGAAATTAATGAGGAGTCTTCTAGTTACAAATCACGAAACAGTAGTTTTTGAATTCCTCCGGGCAAATCTCATCGAAAAAAAATCTAGAAAAACATGATATTTAATTTCTCCATCTAAGGATAATAATATATCAACGTATCCATTGTATTTTTAATTAATTTCCCAAAGATTTAAAAATAATGCGGCAATATACAGTATTTTTCGTTTAATTGGTTTCCCCGCTTAACTGAACCACATGATGGGTCAACAAAATATTGCATACGAAAACACGTGTAAATTTCCCGTTTAATTGGTTCAAATTTCATTAAAAATAAATTTCCTCTTATTTTTCACCGGTTAATTGCATTATTATTGAAAAATAATCTGGCATTTTTATAGACCCATGGCTTCTTTTGGGAATATGCATAGAATCACTTTCTGAGTACAAGGGTACTAGGGTGATTTCTAAAATTGAACAAAATACAGTAATAATAAGCAGAAGCAAACTTAACAATAAACACATTGTTATTAAAAAATAAATAAATAAATAAAGAAGCGTTCGTAGGGTAAAAAAAGAAAATGGCGACTAATTTCTTCATAGGAAGCGGATGATACAATTAACTATGTATCCATTGCATTTACACAGTATGTATGGTCGTATCGAAATTTACTACTCGATATCGACTACTACGACTTTGGTCTTTTCCTTGCTGCTTAGTGTTAATTTTCGACATTGTTGGAATAACAAACAATGTAGGCAAGCATTACTAAAGATTACTAGTTCAAAGGATCTAAAATACTTACAGCCGTATGATATAAATAAAACACATATGATATTTAATATATTTTGT